ATGGAGAAGGAAAGGAACTGCTCATGATCCTAAGCATACCACCTCATCAGTGAAGCATGGTGGTGGTAGTGTCATGGCGTGGGCATGTATGGCTGCCAATGGAACTGGTTCTCTGGTATTTATTGATGATGTGACTGCTGACAAAAGCAGCAGGATGAATTCTGAAGTGTTTCGGGAATATTATCTGCTCATATTCAGCCAAATGCTTCACAACTCATTGGACACCGCTTCACAGTGCTGATGGACAATGACCCAAAGCATACTGCAAAAGCAACCAAAGAGTTTTTTAAGGGAAAGAAGTGGAATGTTATGCAATGGCCAAGTCAATCACCTGACCTGAATCCGATTGAGCATGCATTTCACTTGCTGAAGACAAAACTGAAGGGAAAATGCCCCAAGAACAAGCAGGAACTGAAGACAGTTGCAGTAGAAGCCTGGCAGAGCATCACCAGGGATGTAACCCAGCATCTGGTGATGTCTATGCATTCCACACTTCAGGCTGTAATTGACTGCAAAGGATTTGCAACCAAGTTTTAAAAAGTGAAAGTTTGATTAATGAATATTATTCTGTCCCATTACTTTTGGTCCCTTAACAAGTGGGAGGCACATATGCAAACTGTTGTAATTCCTACACAGTTCGCCTGATTTGGATGTAAATACCCTCAAATTAAAGCTGACAGTCTGCAGTTAAAGCACATCTTCTTCGTTTCATTTCAAATCCATTGTGGTGGTGTATAGAGCCAAAAATGTTAGAATTGTGTCGATGTCCCAATATTTCTGGACCTGACTGTATATACTATATATGAACCTGACAAATTTACAATAAAACGAGTTTGTATAATCGGATTATGTTTTACTGTACCTCAAATATGTCTATGACATAGTGATGCACCCCTATAGCATTTTATATAGTGTAACAGCCAAACACAATAAGGGTAGAAAAATTGAGATTTGGGGGTGGGGAAGGAAGGGGGATAGTGGGACTCTGGCCTGCAGACTTACCTTATGAAAAGTAAACTAAGGGTTGTTGGGGGGGAATTCTAAAAACATGCAGATCTTTGTAGATAGTAAAGATTGATATACTGTACATTACACCGGGAATATCTATGAGGGTAATTTCTCTACCTATAGTAATTCCCAGTAATCATGTTCCAGGCAATGTTGCCCTGTGTTTTGAAAAGATAAAAGTAACCATGTCTCCCAGATATTTTAGAACTTAGCATATTGGAATCGGCAAAGATGATCTCTCTGTAGCCAGAATATCATTGACCTTGGCGATCGACTCCTGAATTGAGGGAGGTTACTCTTTTTTTTCTGGTGGAGTATGAATTGTTCCTTTGCAGTATTAATTATGTTTGAGGTGGCACTGTGTTTGGAAAATGTGATAGATCAGGAGGTTAGGTGGAAGAGAACTGGCAGGCAATCATCTACCAAAACACCCCCTATGATGTCTCTGGTAAGCTAGTGTATAGACTTTCATTATTATTGATTTTGGGATATGCCCATGATATATGGAGGGAATGTGCTACGTTGGGCACATCCTCTCCACCAGGTGTCGAGAATATTTGAGAAGATGCAAGCTAGCTTGCCGGAAAAATATCATTTTGTATACTCATGAGCAATTTATATAAAAATTCCTACATACTGTATGTGAGGCAAGGGATGAGATAAGTGTTAAATGTAACATTTTGGTCATCCGTGAAAGAGAGCCTCAGTTCAGACTCCCATTATCTGAAAAAATATAAGCCCCTCTTTTTTTCCTATACCACCAGTTTATGTGACAGGGACACAAGAAGGTTGTGTGTAGGATCCCCGACAATAAGGTATTCAAAGAGTGTCAGGAACCCAACTAGCCTAGCTTTGATAGAGTGGAAATAGAGCTTTAAAGTGATTGTAAACCTCTGACATGAAATATAAACAAAGCATATCCGTCTATAGTGTGTGATTGTCTCAATTCAGAGCACTTTCTGCCTGCCACCTTGTTCCTCTGCTATTAGAATGAGTCACTTCTGACAAGTTTTTCCTGACAAGAAAATATTGTTCTGGGATCAGCTTTGAAGTGATGCCAGGATATTTCACTGAATATAAATATTGATGAATGTCGAATCTCTGCTTTGCTTCTACTGCCTGAGTATCAAGGGGTCACTGCGTATGTTCAATTTGTGGACTGCTATTCTGCCTCTTCTTTATTGTCCTGACAAGCATTCTGCCACATTAATTGGCCTGTTCATAAAATCTGAGAGATAGATACCTGTGGATTTTTCCCACTTGCTTATATAGTAGGGAGTTCATTTTGAGACCCTTTTGATTTCCCAATGTGATTTCCCACTTGAGGCATGATAAATTCCCCATGGATTACTGACTTGTGTCATTCCCATGATTGTTGTGCTTGAAGTAATTTTTAATAGTTTTTTCCACTGACCTGTTGACCGGGAGATCATCTAGATTATTGATTATTCCCCACGACCAATCCCCGTGGGTTAAGTTGGGTAGTGAAATTTGTATAGTCAGATTGTGATTTTGTTCTACAGTATATCAACTTTCTATAGGAAATCTAAAAAAAACTGATCTACATATAGTAGGTGTATATAGGGATAGGTCTTATGGACCTTTGAATAGCAACTACAGTACTGGGTTAGGGCAAGAATCAACCTCCAGCAGTCCATCAACTGTAAACCTTGGATTGCCTTGTGAAACTGGGAACCATAGTGGGGATTTACCCATGGAATTGTCCAAAGTTAGGTCAGAACATTTTGACATTTCCTCCAGGTAGGAGAAATCCTGCTCTGAAGTTACGTAGTCTGTTACAAGTCAGATTTATAATGTTGATTTGTTGTGTGTTTGAGTCATAAAGCATTGCAAAAGTTAAATGATGTCCACTGAGAAGGCATTTTACAAAAAATAGGTCCAGTAATTGGTCATCTATCATGAATGGACAGTTTTTGTAAAACCCCTTAGGGTTTAGGCTTTAGATTGAAGTGACTCACATAAATACCATTAAATAAAGATATTTATGGGTAGCTTGGGATGGACTTGGGAGTAAAGTGAGTTTTCTTGTGTAGCTCCCTCTAGTGTGCTACTAGAATAGTGTAGTGTATTATAGGTATAATCATTGTGTATGACTCATGGGAGTTGTGTGAGTTATGTGATTAAGGTCGGGCTATTGCAGGTCAGCTGGATGACTCTATCGCCTACTCCTGACTTTTGAACCTTCCAGAAGTTGGTAAGCAGGAAGGGGTGGAGACCGGTTGGATGTTCATGGGAGTCCGGCCAATCCCAGGTTTGGAGGCTCTGGTAGAATGGTGGACTGGCCCATAAATATGGGAGAGTCAGGCTGACAGGGGAGTCGGGTGGAAGATGGAGTCCTAGGCTGGATGCCCCAGGTCTAGGGGGGGGGGCAGGGCTAGGAGGATACATTCAGCGGAGAGGCATGAATGGGATCAAGGCCTGGAGCAGCAAGGAGCAAAGAGGACAGTGTGAGTTATAACAGTACTTTCTGGGATCTATAAGGGGATAGACTGCCACCCGTAGCAAGCTTTCTAAGAACAGTGCTGGGCTCAATCCTTAATCCTTGTCTCTGGAGACCTTCCGAGAAGCCAGGAGGGCTGGTAATGACTGCAGGCTGTGGGGGGTAGAGTAGATATCTCTGCATGTAGCTACAAGAAGTTTATTTTTGAGGGGCTGCTAGTTCCTCGCCCATAAATAGCAGCTGCTACTGATCCACAATGACTGATGGCTTTCAGAAAAAGAACAGTCCAGGATCTGCCTTTGTGCATAGGAAGGAAGTATCCCACTTCCATTGATTCAAGCCAAACTGAGCATCTTATAATCCCTATTTCCCTATCCAAGATGAATGCCCCTAATAAAACAACAAAACCAAGCCCATGGACTGGTCATTGTCTTTGAATGCAAGTCTGTGTGAGAAATACCTGTAGCCTAGCTATGCGTGGAAAGAGGCTTAGGGACACCCACAATACAGTGGTCCTCACGAGGTAGTGCTGTATTTGTATGAAATATGATTTAAGTGGGCCATTGTGAGATTTGAGGATAGAAACTAGGAAGGTATTGCACTGGGGGAAGGCCCATAAATATGGTTAAAAGATATTTGCATGGAAAGTGCAATATCAGAGCAAACCATGTAACAAAATAATCAATAACTGTTTACTGTGTATTTTAGCCATACCGGCAACTTTCCAGCATATTTTTAAAGTTTATAGATAACATCCCATGGTTTTTGAGGTCTTGCACCAGAGCTGCAGAGCCCTATCAATCTCAATTCAGTTAAACTGGTTCATCTACGAAATTTGATTAAGATAGCTTGTAGCACAGGGGTAGCTCTTGGAAGGCCCCATATGCTGATGTTAGAGTGCGTAGTTGCAAATGTAAAGACTCTATCCTAAGGTCATGTCTGTGGGCACACTCCCTCAGTTCTAAAGAATGAAGATACAGTATCTTCTTGTTTATTCTTTTAAATCCTGGACCGTAATGAGTAAAATCTTGTTTGGTGGGAAGGACCCTAATTTGTGTCTTTCTGTCCAAGTCTGCCACAGTTGCTCCTGCATTAGAGAGTCAAGATGAAATGATAGGAGAGACAGGTACCTATATTTCGTCTGTGTGACTCTCCTGCTCTAGGGTCACCATCTCCTCAAGCAGAATGTTGGGACTTGGAGGATGCTTTGGGTAGGGCTCTTGTGTGCTGTGGCCGCCATCTTAGATGCCATCTGAGTGCTCTCTACCAATAAGTTAAGGAAAATTCCAGGGCACACTAGGGGTTTGATTGAGCCTGGAATAGACAGAGGTTTGTCTTTTTTTTCTGTCTTTTTCTACTGCAGTACACCCCCTATACTGATACTGTGGTTGTAACATGGGCAAGGTAGGAACTTGGGAGAGATACGACTTCACTCGCTTATTGATAGGATATAGAAACAAAAACAGCTGCGAAAATTGTGAAAAAGTGGAAAAAAATAGCTGCTGGCAAGACAATCAGGTCAATTGTATATAAATATTATAAATAAATTGCCAAGCTCAAAATGTCACAACATAAGTGATAACATAAATGAGTCCAAATGTAGAAATGAATAATCCCAGTGTTCTGCACCCAGGGGCGGACTGACCATTTGGAAACTTGGGCACTGCTCGAGGGCCCAGGGTCAGTATGGGGCCCCATGAGATGCCCCTGGTACCTTTTTCATAGGCTTTTGTGAGTTTGGGCAAGGACACAGGGGCCCCATGATCCCCTATTGCCCGGGGGCCCCATGAGTTGTCAGTCCGCCCCTGTCTGCACCATATAGTAGATCACCACGTGTCTTCAATATAATTAGTGCTCCACCACCGGAAAATGGTAGGACTCTTACCAGAACATGTGGACCCATATAAAAGAGCCATAAACGCATGAGAATATATCTACCGAATCCCTCAGAGCTGGAAGATGGTATATCATGGTACTGAATGGAATTCCTCCCCATTCTTAATTACACGATAATACCCCTCAGTATGGCCATACAAAGAAAGACAAAGGGGGCGACCACCCCATAAAACCATAAAATACGTTTATTATCATAAAGTATTGCACTCACATTCAGGTGGGCAAATGTGTACAGAGTATTCTCCTGTACCGGGAACAGGTACACATCCTGGTGTTAGAGAGCAGCGTGTAGATGTCAGACGCACAAGCTCCACCAGACACGTTTCATCACATATAACGTCGTCTGGGGCGTATAAACTGAACAGGGAATTCTTTTAAGACCTCTACCCTTAGATGTTTTGTGCCCTGTGATATGTTTTAAAAATATTTCTTGGTTTGACAAAACTGCAGTTTTCTTTCCTTACTTTACCTTACCAAGTCTAATATTTGAGTGGAATTTCTGTTTCACATCCTAATTTTTCAATTTTGCAGGTGGTATCTCTTTAAGGGAAAATGCTTTACCTCTTAAAAACAGAAACATCAAAAGAAATGCATCTGTTCAGAATAGGTTCTTTATCTTATTTACATTTATCTTTTCAGTGCATTTTTTCTAATATCAGAATATGTTTAATGAGCTCTTGGCAACTTAGCACAACATAGGCTTTTCATTTAAATTAAACATTAACAAACACTGAGAGGAAGCTGTCATTTATAGTATCAGTAAACACTACTATATATGATGTTCAGCTCCTGCCAATGTTCAGACCAAACCTTAAGCTCATCCCTAAGTGCAAACTGTTCTAGTTTATTAAGCAAGAAGGCAGGACAAATACAGGAAATGTAGCTAAAATGGCTCCGGAAAGTGAAATTAAGCCTAAAATAAAATCTTACAAACAGGCAGGAAATTTATTGCAAAAATGGTCTTCTGTGGTAAAATAAATTCACTGTACGTTCTCGGCAAGTTGGTGTTGTGCCGGGATGAATGAACTTCTGCACATACACAGGCATTATGCAATACCATGCCAGCTAATCAAGATGGCGGAAAATCCAGTACCTGGAAGATGATGCAGGCGAAGGACCTCATGCCTTTGTTCGAGGTGAGGTGAGTATTGCAGACTTTAGCTCAGCTTTAAGGAAAATAAGAAACTGTTGGGTGGTTTAATCCTCCTGCATCCACTGAAAACTGAAGCTTAAAATAGTCAGTTCACCCACAAATTCGGTTTTCAGTGGATGCAGGAGGATTAAACCACCCAATGGCTTCCACTGCAAGACGCATTTGACATTTTAACTGCAAAACAGGTAATTATGGTAAATTAATATTTTAAAGGATAGCTGCTATACTTATATCACAGAGTATCTTGGAAGCAGAATTCAGTGCCATTCACACCTCATAGCCCAGGGTTGTGGCATGTTTTTTGACCTTTTATAATTTTTTTTTGCATACTTTATTTAGATTTTCAGTAATTGGTATCTGTCTAACAGTATCAAAGAAGCGTTAGGTCAACATAATTGACGTAAAGTGTGATTGCGTTCTTTGGTGTCTGGCCTTGCTTTAGTGATTTGACCTTTTATAATTTTAAGGTTTATCCAACAGGTGAGATCAAGTATGGGTGGGGACCCCATAAGTGGTCTGGAAACATCCCCGGACTGATTGGTGGTCTTGGCACAACACCATATATTAGAAGAACAAAAATCAAAATATCTCTGTATAGTGAAGGAAATAAGTGTTTGATCCTCTGCTGATTTTGAATGTTTGCCCACTCACAAAGAGTGGTGACAAACATGGTGGCCAACTACAGGAAACATCTGACCTCTGTGATTGCCAACAAGGGATTTGCCACTAAGTGCTAAGTCATGTTTTGTGAAGGGGATCAAATACTTATTTTCCTCATGAACATGCAAATCAGTGCATAATTTGTTAGAAATGCATTTCTTTTGAATTTTTGGTTGCTATTCTGTCTCTCAGTGTTACAGTACACCTACCATTCGATTTTTAGACTGATCATTTCTTTGTGAGTGGGCAAACATTCAAAATCAGCAGGGGATCAAATACTTATTTCCTTCACTGTATATGACAAGACCAATATCAATAATTGTGGTTTTAAAACCTCCCAAAAAATATCTATAACAATAAAGGTGATACCACATTAAAAAGATGTGACAGTCTTTTTACGGCGCAGTTTTGTGAGCCAGAAGTACATGTGTCTTCACCACGTGCCAGAAAGAATAAGTGAATTGCTCACTCACCAAACTTATTTGACCCCGGTTAAGGCGGTCAAAAACGCATTTTGATAGTGTATACAGAAAGGTCCACCTCTTTCCCAACATACCGCAGAGCATAGCTCCAAGGAAATGGTCATGAGATTTCCAGTGAACCAACAATGGATGAATACTCTGTATCAGGCTCTCCTTGCCTTTAGAGGAATGTTTCCAAGCAGCTCGAATAAACCAGATGGATTATATTCTAAATGCAGCATTTATTGGTTGTAATGAATAAATAAAAGAAAACTATGCACTCACATGTACAGGTGCTTTGTTAACCAGCACCAGTATGTACAGCCGAAGTGATCCAAAAATGGCCAACGTGTGTTCCAAGCTTCGCTCTCGCTGTGCTGGACGTGACGTCACCGGAATCCGGAAGTGACGGAATCACGCTTTGATGTACTTTTTGTCTGGTGGTGTCTTCAGGAACTAATGTCCTCCATATCCGGGCTGATTAAATAGAGGCTAGCTCTCATTGATTGGATGACTCCAATAGCAGAGCCAACAACTTCATTGAATGGCTCCGGATTAATGGCCGACTTGTCAGATATCTTTTGTTGTAACAGGCTGCACATACTGCCACGGTAAATACTTGTACAATAACCGTACCCATGAAGAGGTGCATGTTTTCAGCAATATTAAAACAATTAAGACAAAGGTTTGAATATATAAAACATCATATAAAACAACATTAAAAACAAATACTAAAATTCTAATACAATATAATACAAATAAATAATAAAAAATAATTACAAATTGGATATCAGAGCCTCAATTATTCTATCTCACTATAGATTAGATGAATGTACACTAATGTTAAACTGATGTTGGTGAAAAAAATAAAAATATTGAAAAATATCGGAAAAATTATATTGAGATTAAAAATCCCATTTCAGTCTTTGCAGATGACACCAAGCTGTGCAGTGGAATAACGTCCTTACAGGATGTCTTCAATTTACAAGCTGACCTCAATGCACTGTTTAATTGGGCAACTATGTGGCAAATGAGGTTTAATGTTGATAAATGTAAGGTTATGCACTTGGGGGCTAAGAATATGCATGCATCATACATACTAGGGGGAGTACAACTGGGGGAATCAATGGTGGAGAAGAATCTGGGGGTTCTGGTAGATCACAAGCTTAATAATGGCATGCAATGCCAAGCTGCGGCTTCTAAAGCGAGCAAAATCCTCTCTTGTATTAAAAGAGGTATAGACTCCAGAGAGAGAGATATCATATTACCCCCGGTACAAATCATTAGTAAAACCTCATCTGGAATATGCAATTCAGTTTTGGGCACCAATTCACAAAAAGAACATTGGGGAACTGGAGAAAGTACAGAGAAGGGCAAGTAAACTGATAAGAGGCATGGAGAAGCTCAGCTTTGAGGAAAGATTAGAGGAATTACATTTATTCTCTCTTGAGAAGAGGAAATTAAGGGGGGATATGATCAACATGTAAAAATACATCAGTGGTTCATATTGTGAACTGAGTGTAGAGCTATTCACTCTGAGGTCATCACAGAGGACAAGGGGGCACTCTTTACGTCTGGAGGAAAAGAAATTTAATCTCCAAACACGGAAAGGCACAGTGAGAGCTGTGAAATTGTGGAATAGACTCCCTCAAGAGTTGGTTCTGGCCAGCTCAGTGGATTGTTTCTTAGATACACAGGATATAAATGGATACTAACATTTATAGGTAAAGTTGATCCAGGGAATATCCGATTGCCTCTCGGGGGATCATGAAGGAATTTTTTCCCAGGAGGTGCAAATTGGATCATGCTTTGCTGGGTTTTTTTTTTATTTCCTCTGGATCAACTGTGTGTATAGGATTATAACTTTTTTTTTTTCTATGGTTGAACTGGATGGACTTTTTTCAGCCAGACTAACTATGTAACTATATATACTGTGTGTGTGTGTATATATATATATATATATATATATATATATATATATATATATATATATGTATATATATGTATGTATATATATATATATATATATATATATGTGTGTGTATATATATATATATATATATATATATATATATAGAGAGAGAGAGAGAGACATAGTTTGGAAGGACGGATGTAATAAAATAAACACACCACTCCCTAAATACAAAAAATCCCCCACTATCATTGGGTGCAAAGCTTCAAAATAGTAATGGGATTTTATATGGCTTCATGAATATGCAGACAATAGCTGCTAAGGGAATCCCACTTAAGAAACTATCATCAATTGTATACAATAGTGAGATATTAATCGATGCATGTTACCAGGGGGAAGTGGAATAAATCCTAGCCTCATATGTTTGGAATAGGCTAACAATTTTAGCCATATTGTTAAAACAAAATGATACCCTAGTATAAAAGGGCAGGTTATATGCCGATGGGAATAGGTCTTGATGCAGAAGTGATGGCACCATGGATAGACACGAAGGGGGGGATTTACTAAGGCTTGTTCACTCAGAACCTGGTGCAGCTGTGCCAATCAGCTTCTAACCTCAGCTTGTTCAATTAAGCTTTAGCAATAAAACCTTGAAGCTGATTGGTTTCCATGCATAAGTGCACAATTTTCTGAGTGAACCAGCTTT